TCAAACGAAACTTTTTCTTGGCCCAGTTTTTTTACAAAAACATTTGTTTTTGTGTTTTTAGGCAGATTTCATTATTTTTTTCAAAATAAGCAAGGACTGTTTTTCCATCCGGTGAAATTTGTTCTTTTCAATTTAATTTAACTGAATCATTCTTCATAAGATAGAACATTTTTTGAATCAACATTTGAAGGGAAATAAACAGTTCTACTCCAGATTTATTCTCTCCACCGAATTTCAAATTTTAATCATCTATTAACAATTTTCTGACTTGATTTGATTCCTCAATTTTTCATTCAATTTTTGCTCTGATCCTATATGGATTGTATTTCGTGGAGAGATGAACTGATTTCCTTATAGGAATAGTCGAACAAAATGTTCACAAAGAATTCTTTTTGAAAACATCTGTTTTTGTTTTTTTTTTTTTTTAATATTAGAGAAACATTGGGTGGAATGGACTCTTCTGACTTCTTATTTTAATATTTATAACCAAGGAACAAATTTATTGATCGAGCTCAGTCTAAGCTTATTAGAAAGGGGCTGGCTGTACTTTAATTTAAAAAAAAATCTATTTCATCAGCACTTCAATAAGACATCAACATTTTGGAAAGGGTTCAAAGTGTCCGTTTAATCCCATCGTCTCCTATTAATTTTTCCTAAATAATCACAAAATTGTTCGCATTTCACTGTCACTTAATTTAGTGAATTTTTTTCCACGGAATGAAAACATTTTCTGTTACACTCGGAGAAAAATAAATATTTCCTTTTCGAATTTAACTATTCGCGGACATTTAATACTTGATCGTACAATATTTTCGGCACATCTCCCTTTTGTCACATTCCAAACATAAACCTTTATGTCCGAAGTTCGCATATGAATATAGATATGGCAGGATGAAATTCGAATTTTCGATGAGAGAAAACAAAATAGAACACCGAGTCGATTTTCCGTTTCATCCTGATAAGTGATTCAACGTGAAGAAGAACATTTTCTGTGGTTCTCCATAACAACATTACAACCCACATTCAAATGCACTGGTGGCAATACTTAAACGTTGGATATGAAGCTCAGTTGGACCGGCGCTGCCAACGTTACAACTTGATTTTCACACTTTATAATGTGAATCGCGAGAATGTGAATATGATCAACTCGTTGCTATGCGCCTATCTTTTTTACTGTTAATCCAAAAAATACCATAGTTACACCGTTGAAAAGCTCATAGGCGATTTATATAATGTAACTAACGACACTTTCCCGATTTGTCGTCCCGTTTTCATTATACCGAATGTAAATCATTTAGAGGTAGTGGAGGGGGAAGTTCTGTCGTGTATAGATACGCAGTGCTCTCGGCCTGATGTTTTGCTCAATCGGTCAAAATTTTTCATGGCCGATACGCTACGGCGTATCTCGATCATGCCATGATTTTCTCAAACAATCAATATTGCTATACAGAATACTCATCACTACTGGAACAATTATAATGTGCCACCACTTTCATAAATCAAACCCAGAGTTGACCCAGAGTTAACTCTGGGTTTGATCTATCAGGGCAATCTAAATTTTTTTAAGACTCCCTGAGAGATCACATATGAAAAAATTCAATAGAAAACCTAGCGAATTCGGTAGAAAATTCTATTGGAATTCTATAAGAATTCTATAGGGTTTCTATAGAATTACTATTGGAATTCGATAAGAAAAAGTCAATACATTTTGAATTTCTGTTGGAATTTTTCTCTTGAGATTTTTTTTATTCGAAATTATTGGGCACAAATTTTCTAAGTTTTTTCCACTGGATTTTGTTTTATATTGCATTACAGAATCCGAGTGGAAAAAACTTAGAAAATTGATGCCCAAGCGTGCTTATAAAAAAAATCTCAAGAGAAAATTCCAAACAGAAATTTGAAATCTATTGACTTTTTCTTATCGAATATTCAATAGAATCAGCGCAAAAAACAAATAGAATTTTTCAATAGAATTCCAATAGAAATCCTGTAGAAACCCCATAGAATTCCTATAGAATTCCAATGGAATTTTCTAGCGAATTCGCTAGGTTTTCTACTGAATTTTTTCATGCATGATGTAACAAATTCCAGACAATTAAAATAACTAAGTATTCACTGCAATAATTCCTCAAATATTGTGAGTTACGACGGTGTAGGGGTGGGTGAGACAAAATGGATACTTGATTTTTTGTTTCATGTTCATACCTTAGAAATAAATTTATGAATTGAGCTCAGTCTGGCCGCATTCACAAAAAGCAACAGATGTACTTTCCGAGGCAAAAAATAGCCCTTTCACAACAGTTCGACTCTCCAATTGTACACTGGAGATCAGATGGACCCAGTACAAATGCATTTTCGAATGTATTGTTGCTACTGCAAAATAACTATCTACTTGGAAAAACTTCATATACCCTCAGATACTCCTCGTGCTAGATCTTGGTCCATCAAATATAATTTGATCTCTTCTAATGTCTGAATGGAAGATTCAAAATTTTATCGAAGAACGCTTTTTTCAATATCAAAATTTCCCTTGTTAACCTGTTTTTGGAGAATTGTGCAACAGGGGATATTGTTTTCCCTTCGCGTCGACTCCGTTCCATCCTCACCCTCGGCTGCCCCATAACTGCCGTGGAATTTATTTTCCAAAATTATCGATTGTAAATATTCTATCATTGTGTTATTTATTCAAATTTTCCCGCTCTGACGCTATAGTCAACCCCTAGAGTACAATTACCATACTGTCGAATATACACGCCTGCGCAACCGATCAACGCAACAAGTTTAGTGATACGACACTCTTGCCCCAGCAGCGAGCGTATGAAGTTGTCTTAACCTGTAAAATTTTGTATTGTGTCAATCAAGTGGAAGAGTCGGCGGCCGAGAGTTTGCTATATTTAATTGAGAATTGTCGATATTAAAGTGAGTAATATTTCTCTCTCTCTCTCTCTCTCTCTCTCTCTCT